AAGGTTTCCAGGAAATGACGAACTCCTCAGTTTATGGTCCAATGGATTACCCAATCTCTTCATTGCAAACATGCGTGTTTGACAAACCTTTTACGGCAGAAACAAGTCAATTTTGTAAACGGTATTAAATTATCCATAGCTTTGAGAGCGCTGAGTAATCGAGAAATTGTGAAATTTTGACTTTGCATCCCTGGATGTAGCACTTGATTAATGCCTTCAGGTTATTTGATGTTGTTCGAAGTTTTTGATGCCGTAGACGTTTGCAATGAGTGATTGGATAATGACTACGTTCGATACATCCAGAAAAAAGCTCCATCCGCACATTTTGCACCTCAATCTCACGAATCCGCTGAACTGACCAATCACTGATGGTAACGGACGACGTTTGAGAAACTGAAAACACGGTTTTCCCGTCACAAATTAGAATAGAGAAGTCAGAAGCATGGGTTTACACAATATATCCATGGTCATTTCACTGCATCCGCTCCCGTTCTGTGGGTTAGTATGTCGTGTTGCGATTAGTGAGCTTCTTTCCATTCCATGATCGTTATCGCACCGCCTAATCTAAATGTTTACATGATTAGATCAGGAAAGGTTATGTGACAAATGAACTCCAAGATATTTGACAGAGTCAACCTTTGGGGATGTTACTACTGTTAACATCAAGTTCAGGCTGGTTACTAAAAAGAGTTTGGTAATGAGTCTGTGTTAAAGTAAAAAGGAAGAGCACTGGAAGCGGCAACGAAGTGATCAACAAATAACCTGAGCTAAAACGATGAAGACGTTAAGTTCAAAACNTGTAGGACGCTCTAAGTTCCCAGGCTGGCGTCCTGAGAACAGCAAATACCTATAGCTAGTAACCGGCCCTCAATGGCGCACTTGTTGCCAGACTCCTATTCGTCAATTTGTATTTAAACCGTTGTCACCTTTGTTCCTCCATATGTTGTAGCACGTTTGTCAAATCTATGTAATTGTTTATTTGTTGAACATAAATAAACACATATATCCAGTACATGGGATAATGTGTATCGGGTTGAGCTTTTTTCTTGCTGCCGTATCACGACGTTGCGACAGAGAGGAAAGAACTGAAAGACAGTATTCGTTTGATTCAATTATAACACATTCGCAATAGCAATGTGACCAGACATAGCATAATCCCCCGGAATGAATCGAGCCTTGTGAGACTGATCAAAAATGTGTCCCACATCGAAAAGGATACACATATCAGCATTGTGTGTGTGTGTGTGTGCGTGTGTGTGTGTGTGTGTGTGTGTGTAAATCCGCAGAGAAAAGCAATCGTGCAAGAAAACGTAAGATTATCGGGTGCACACTAGTCAAGTGGATGACTCACATAGATGAGTTGTGCAACCGTTTTGCGCATGTAGACCCAGATACCACTGATCGGAACCTTCCGGTTTTAGGAAGCTGTTAAAAAAATAATCGATAGAATATCGTGTAACACAATCACGTGAGTACTGAAATGTTAGGTTGATGAAAAATAGCTATCAGTGCGTATAAGCATATCAATCGATTCCAGGGTACCAGAATCGATTCTCGATTATTGTTTCTCATCACATCATGTCAACATGCCGTGTGTGTGAAAAGTCAGCGAAATAATCGATGACTGTTTTCACGGGCTTGTTAGGACACATCAACCGTGATTAACACACAGAGACTCATTAATACTTGGGTGAACTTGCCCACATCTTCTGATGCCTATATATCCGATAGGTCAAATAAATTGCTGCTGTGTTTCTACACTGCAGTGCCCTTGATTGGGTAAAAACGACAGAATACCACTAGAGAGTACATAGGCGTCTTAGTGTGAATTGAAAAACCACTCATTGAACACAGTGGTTCCATCAGTATGATGAAAGAAAGTGATCAGCTGTCCTCCGGTCGCAGAAAGGGGGACGACCGTCGCATCGATGGTGGTTAGTCTTGAGTAAAGCTCATTCAGATTCACTGAGTAAGCCGTCGCGAACGAGCGGTAACAGTGTTTTAGGATGTTGTAAGTTTACGCTTAGAAAGTGTCTGCCGGAGGTAGTGTGACGGAGCGAATATGACCTACCCCTTTTGGACCGCTACATCTACCCGATAAAGATTACCAGATAAGGTTAATAAACCAACTCACTGTCTTATAGCTTGTCTGTAACGAGGCTGTTGCCTCTCCGATCGCATCTGGATGTGCAAAACTTTGAGGTGNNNNCATCCTGTTGTATGCAGAAAAACTGCTAGAGGTGCAGTCTCGACTAAAAAGACGGAAAAGTATTGGGAATACCACTGCGTACTGTATCATATTCCCAAATATCTTCATGGATGATCTCATTAGACATTTTTTGTTGCTGTTTTTGCTGCTGCTGCTGCTCCGATTCGAATGAGCACGGTGCAGGGTTTCAGTTTGCACACCCGTTAACCATGCACTATCGTGCGCCGGTTTTGGTTGCTATCTTTCGGCTGCCCATTTGAATGAACATAAGCAGAAAGACAGGAAAGGTTGAAAGTAGGATCGAAGAGAAAATTAAAAAGTTCAGTGGACTAATGATACAGAGAAATTGAGAAGATACACGAACGCCACTGATTACGAAACCCAGCCATATTACTCAGTGTCTCTAACCATCGGGTACGGCCATCCCGAGGTTACCATCCAGGGAGCCTAACGGGACTTGTGTGACCTAGGCTCCTCGTTAGGGTTTTCATATTCTCATGCCAGGTCTTAGCTTGACCACCCTGGACTTTCTTCTACCCGCTACCTGCCTCGGCAAACATCGCTCGCCGTGGCCACTTATTTGGAGACATGCGTAACACATGCCCCAAACAGCGTAATCTATGAAGGTCGATCACTTGCTCCACTGGACGACCGCGATTACCTAAAACTTTGAGCCTGACCTCAGCTTTGCTCGTCCAGCTGCCCCACCAGATTCGTGCAATGCTGCGTAGACAGCGATGTTCAAACATTGACAGTCTATCTTTGTCCTGTTTTCTTAATGGTCAAGTTTCTGATTCATATTGTGGAACTGGCCGAAGTGCTTCATCATGCACTCGACCCTTAACAGACAGCCGGATGTCGCGACGGCATCACAGATGTCTCAAGTTGGCAAATGCCAACCGAGCCTTCTGCATACGAGCTGACACTTCATCCGTGATGCGTCCACCGGGTGAGATGTAGCTGCCCAGATAACAAATCCTATCCACCTGCTCTATTACTTCTCCAGTAAGAGTGAGGCTGGGTGCTGGACCAACCCAGTCTTGTAGTAGCATTTCACACTTTGAAGGTGCAAAACGCATACCAAACATGGACACGCTAGCACTCAAACTTTCCAGAAACGCTTGTAAGTTACCTGGATCTTCACTTAGTAGCACAATATCGTCTGCATACTCTAGTCAAACAGCCTGCCACCTGGTAGTAAATCGATGCCACTATCCTCGAACGAGGATAGGGATGTTTCCATAAGCAGATCTATAACAAGGTTATTGGATGATAGTTGTTTAGCCCACAGTGAATGCATTTGTGGTAAGCAGATAGATAGAGTTCTCTTTTCAAGGAGGAGGGTTAATTAGTAAACCACTACGGGCGCTACACGGATTCAGTTTCATCTACCTGATCCATTGATTTCAATTATTTCAGTTCTGGGACGAAGTTGATTGTGTACGAACATAGTGTGACTGATAAAATGCTTGGCAACCCAACCCCGTAATATTTGAGTGTGCTTTTCTCTCTCTCACTGGACCTTTCCGTTTCATGGTGTGCAATACCGAGGCACCAAGAGGTTTTCAGTTCGTACAACCATTAACCACGCATCTCTGTGCGCCGGTTTTGGTTGCTGTCTTTTGGCTGCCCACTTGGATGAAGAATAGGAGAAGAAAGGAAGGTTGAAAGTGGAGCCGAACAGAAAATGGAGAAGTTCAGTGGTGTAAAGTTGCAAAGAAATTGAGAAGATGCAAGAACGCTACTGTTTGCGACACCCAAGAAATCAGCTCCGAATACGGAGTGACAGATGCGAATAACTTACTTGGTCACATATTCTTTCTTGATCGCGTGGGATGGAATTTTGGGCCAAACAACCGAGAGGAGAAACACCCTGCACATGAGGGGAGCGAATNAAAACACGAATGAGGATAAGTGACAAATGGTAGAGTAGCTGTGTTTTCTGTAATGACGGAGAAAAAACACAACGTAATCAGTAATGAAACTTTAATATGAAAAAAAAGATTTAATTCGCTCATGCTATGAGGATGATAAAAATAAACTACAGTATGCCAACTACTACCTCCTGTTTCTATAACATCTATTCGGATTTAATATTTAATACTACCACACGTTGTTTACCTTGGTCTATAAACATAAACAGTGGAAAAATGCATGAAACGAACTGTGATTTCTGCCGGTGTGCGACGCATTGCGCTCCTACTGCGCATACTCATTCAATGCGCTGGACCGTGTCTGCGGCAAGGATATTGAAAGAACCACTCGGAACACGCAGTTAGACATTTCTTGCGATTGGTGCAATCGTTCCGTCTTACAGTCCTCTCACTCGGTTAACTGTGGTGCCATATAGTAAACAGATTATACAGCTTCCCAAAGAGTGACTACTTTGACATTAGGGTTTTCCTTTGATCGGTACTGGAAGCAGATACAGGCTTGATCTAGCAGAAAAATCGGCACATAGAGAGGCCCTCATTCCAGTCTCCTTAGAATTCATAACCGACAGATCGCAAAAACATTCAACAGCCAATCATAGCTGAACTAGTAATGGATACCAGATAAGCTGCTCGCACATTGCAAGGTTTTGGTATTTGTGCGTGAATCGAAAACTCTCGTCTTTTCGGGTTACTCACAAAGAACACTTTCACCGGTACCTCAGTAAAATGGAATAAGGAAGAAGTACACGCTGTAGAAAAAAGTGAGAGGCATTCATGCGTAGGTTCAAATCTGGCCCAAGGATCTCGATAATTTTACAATTGCAATAAACAGCAATCATAATTTAAAAATATAGTATTTACAAGGCAATCAAATGCTGCATGTAAACGTAGCTGAACTCAATGAAGACGGACGGCAGCAAACCTAAAATGACTAAGATAACAAGCAAAAAACAGAGGAGATATGTTGGGCAATCAAAACAATGTCATTATAGACCGCTGAGGTAGATCAAGAGTACGTTTCCGTCATACTATGGCCTACCACAATGTGTCAGTACTAATCAAACAGAAAACGACCGATACAAGAGAGAAATTGTAACCTTGATGACCAATCGCAAGAAGTTGGAATCATTCAGTACTAAAATGACAGAAACAGAGTCTCGTGGAAGACTTCGAAATCAATGGAATCGTGGATGGAAGTTATCGAGACGGCCTTCACTTTGTTCAATGTATTTATTTCTCAAGTATTTACGCTGTTTCATTGATTTCAAATGTTCCTTTTATTATTTTATTATACAAATATATACATATATAAAGGTGGACAAGTGATAGGGTAAAACTCACTTTCCCTTCAAAATTGACTAAGTCCCCTTTTCCTATTTCACCATTTTTAGGAACTTTCCAAATTTTCGCGCCAGAATGGTCTTATTTTATACCACCAACCATGCTCGCACCCGGTTTCCCAAAAACTTCGAAATTTCGAGATAATTCTTGAGATCACTGCTGACCACCTCTAAAAATGTATATAAGCAGATGAGCTGGCAACTACAAACGCCTTTGGATGGAGTCAAATATACAACCTCACCTCAGAGTTTACTTACCGTGTTATTTTGATTCAGTTTCAGAATCGTATGTATCAATCTTGCTACAGGAGTTCATACTAAGAGCGTTGAGGTATTTTGGAGCAGAATAAACCCACAATTGAAGAATGTATGAGGATCCGTTGGTGATACGATTTCCGAGCATTTGGACGAGGTTTAATACCGAATGTGGGGTCATTTTTCCATTCAAACATTTCCAAATGACATGGAAATGTTTTTAAATCATATTTGTAAAGTTTAATATAATATTTATCGTTTTCACTAGTTTTATAACTTTGTATTATCATATATTTCATGCATTAATACTATTTGTAAATATTTATCATATATCTTTTTACATCATAGTAGGTGTCAAAATTCTTTTACTGAAAGATGTAAACTACTCATAAGTAACACGATTTTGTACTGAGAAAATTGACCTGCGGGGGGCGTCTCCCTAACCTCTTTCTGACAAAACGCTGCTCATTTTGTTGTCTTTAAGCGAGACAACTGAAACTGATGCTGATATATAAAATATGGTTATCGATTATGAAAAGAAAATTACTCACGGATCGACTGGTGCATGCGTCTGCATACTGAACGAGAACCAAGGGGACGCTCGAGGAGAAATACCTAAAACGTGTGAATCCGCAATTACGATGGGATATCTGTTATGGACATTTGATGAAACAAATATGCTAAGAAAGCACCTGACACAAATAAAAAAGTACGGGTTATTTATTTCAGGAAGCCCAAAGAACNACCATCTTTTGTGACTGTTTGGTGTTAAAAATTCGAACTCACAGAAGAGGAAACAAGCGATGGAACTTACTCTCAAGTTTCGGCCAAAAAGGAAGTTGGTAGACAAATCGAACCGAAATATTCACATCTGGACTGGGGACGGTTTTATTCCATGGATAACCCTAAGATTTTAAGGAGGGTGGAAGAAGAGGGTCGAGAGAGGGTGGTTGTGTTCGATTAACTGATGACTAAACGGATCAAACAGCTAGATCAATCAAAATACATCATTGGTTAACTAACGATAAAGAAAGTCAAATTGTCGGTATAATGCCTGAAGTACAATGGAGCGGGGGGGGGGAACAATACCTTAAAAATGAAAAATTGAAACTATAACACTAAACCAAAAGGGGGACTAAAAGGTTGAACATAACAGACGTGCGGTTCAAGTATGACGAGACTGCATCTGGATGTGGTGCGATCGCTTGCGTGCCTCCGTGACCCTGCGAGCTATAAATGACGGCTCCTCACTCTCAGATTCAACCGGGACCGAAAGTTCAATGGGTGGAGGTCAGAAAAACCCAGTCTCACAAGGCCAGCTGATTGGGCACCTCTTGGCATCCTTTCACTCTCGCCCCGCAGAGAGTTCACTCAAGAGAACAATCATGAGGGGCAGTTCCCAGGTAAAAGCTTACCATGGGTAGCCCTCAGAAAAAAGGTAATGTCCTGTCCATGTTCCGCCCGTCTCATTGGGTGCATGATGCTAAGGATGGATCCTGAAAGGGTGGACCGAGAATTAACGCATCAGACAACAACACACTGAACCGAAATCCAAAGGCCTTGTGTCACAGGTCTCTAGAAGCTCCCACACGGGTGGTTTGGTCACGCTCCTGCGTTGGATCTACGCTCCATCATCACGATCAGACTGCACCTGGATGTGGTGTGATGGTTTGTGCACTTCTATGACCCAACGAGCTACACTGGATGGCTCTGATCAAGTTGAAGATCCAATCATACCTGGAAGGTCGAAAGGCAGAGGTCAGACGAAGTTCAGTCTCATGGTCCTCCAGGTTGGGAGTTCGACTCGAATTGGCATTTCAGTCGGTAAAAATACTGGAGAAGCAACTGATACAATTAAATAGGCCTCCGCTCCGCCTTCCCCGCTGCTTTGTGGTTAGAGTCTTGTCAGAACCAAGGGTTTGGTTAAGAAACCTAATGGTTCTCCTGCTGAGTCGTTGGACTCCATGGCAGTACCCGTCCATAAAGCTCCAATAAATATACAAGCTAGAAATAATTCTACTCACAACACTCATCAGACAACTTGTTTACCACTCACTAGAGCTCGTTGCCAAATAGCACTGTGACTAGTTCACCTGTAAATGAGATACACATTCTGAAGCCTTATCAGCCTCTCAGTCTGGGGGCCTTCAAAGTGAGGACTCTGATGCAGGTTGATTAGCAAGCTTGTCTTGGGCGTAAAATGGACTCTGAGAATTGATGTGTTTCTTATCCGAGACACGAATTTAAGATCCCAGTGGTATAAGCCATCTGAATGCACCCGCCCCTCGAAGTGGTGGCGCAGTGGTTTAGTCGCTGTCACCGGTGTGCCCTTGACCCTATGGTCCGGGGTTCGAGGCCCCGCTACCGCCACCCAACTTTGGTGGTAGGCAGCTTCGATGTTGTCCGTTTCAATACTACGCCTAACCTATCGGGGCCTTTTGTGGATCGACACTCCATGCCTCGGGGCTTAGGTTGCCGGTTTCCACCACTGAACAACTGACTATGGGGTTCGCCTCGTCTACTGCCCATCACACTTGAGTGTGTTATAAAAAAGAGGTACTTCCGTCGCACATCACATGATGAAGCACGCTCTTTGGGTCAGTGAGGTGTAGGAAACGTACTAAGAAGTAAAGCTGAGGCCTCACTGATAACAGTCGTTAGTGCGCAACGAGGCCCCAGGGTTCTGTTAGTGTTCGGAAGGTTAGCAACACCAAGAAGTGCTTGTTCATCATTTCCGCATATGCACCAACCAAATGCAATCTTAATCTACAAAAGGAGAAATTCTACGATAAACTCATCCAGCTCATCCGATTGAGCCGTAGCCCTTATTTTCTATTGCTGGTAGGTGATTTCAACGCGTAGGTTAGAAAAATGAGCGAACCCGAAGCCTATCTAAGAGGAATGACGGGAGGGCACTTCGCTCTTCCCTCCCATCGAACAGCGAACTTCAGTTCTGTGAAGATCACCGGCTGTTCTTATCTGGCACCAACTTTCGACACAACACTCCTCGGATGGCAACATGGTGCTCTAGTTCAACGGGTAAGTTGACCCAAATTGATCATATAGTTATAAGCTACCGATGGTCTATTGACTGTGAGTCCCTTAATGGGTCCGTCCTCTAATTAGGCCCAAACCCTATTCATCTTATACTTTCTCACTTACTTTGTGTACATTGAGAGCTTGAGTCAGACTTTTGCGTCCACGGCTCCAGTTAGGGTTTCTCGAGAAAAAAACCTCGTCGTTATGAGTTACGCCAAAGCATTTCGTGTTCTTTAGTATCAGGTTGAATTTAGAAAACCTCTTTCTCATCTGTCGAGTGCTTCCTCTCACTCTCAAATCATGCGAGATACCTCCTGTATACGCCACCCATGGGATATCACCCAGCGTTTAGCTGGTAAGGTCAACCATTTAAAATCCATGGCATTGAATAAAACCAGAATCTTCGTTTTACTTAGCTGCATTCAGTGTTCGCACACTATCAGATCGCCCAACAAACTGCCTTAGGCCGAATAAATTGAACTTTCAATTAAGACGTATGCTGTCTCCGAAACACAGAAATAACCGTACTTCAATTATCACACAGCGTTTTCAAGATCTAACCTCATGCTCCTGTTCCACTCTTCGTGTGTCAGGCTATTCGGCATCTGACGCTCGCGGTGCTGCTGGTGTCGCTATTGAGCTAAGTGGCAAGGCTGAGCGCTCACTTCTCAACTGGATTCCAGTCAGTGGCCGACTGTGTTGTTCGTCTTGACGGTTCAGCATGGGCGATTGAAGATGCAGGTAAGTTGTAAGCAGTTCTGGAAGGTTTGGGTGAAATTTAGTTAAGGCTAACTAACTTCTCTGGCCTAAACTCGAACATCCGGAAGCCGAGTGCATACAAATAACAACAAATACAAAACCTGGAATAAATTCAACCAAGAGTGGTCTGGAACCTACCAGCTTTTCCAGAAACATCTCCCTTAGACCGGCCAAATGCATACATGGCCAAGGAATATCAGGCGACAAGCGTGCTGTTGACAGGTCGACATTTAGAGCACCGACCAGCATGGAAGTTCGATAGGCTTGTTTGGTGTGATCCTCTTCCTCCTCCTGCTCCTCGTGCGAGTCCTTTCCCGATCCCGGTGGTGGAATAGCAGCCACACCATGGTACAGATCAGTTCCGGCATACTGTACAATGATGGGTATGGGACTGGATGAAGTGGTGTGTGAACAATAAAAACAGAGTGAGTGAGAGGAGAGAAGGGCAGAGTACAATCGGCCATATAGGATCCAATACATTATAAACTGCATACTATAGTGGACGGTAGTCAATTTGTTTACCGATAGAGTAGACGCAAGAAATTCACAGAATGCTTGAAAAGTGCGTATGCACAATTGGAGCATGTACTCTGTGTTCATCATAGAGGTTCGCTTTCTTTTCCCACCCGAAAAAATAGGCCCAGTCCTTATCCTCCTTACACATTATCACTTACCTTACGTGCATCATGAGTTTGGCAGCGAGCAGTGAAGTTCGCTTCACTATATTACGCTGTACAGTGGTGAATGATGATGCTAAGTTGAAAATGAGAACATGTCTGAGTCCGTCAATCCCCCCCCCCTCAAAAAAAACGAATTCACCTGATATCTATAGAGCTGGGAAGGATTCGGACAAATTGCTCTCCAAGGTGACCAAAAGGCGTGCTAAACAAGGAGTTTAGATCTGATAATGACTTCATTCAGGAATGATTGTCCATCGGTGGTGATGATGGTGATGGTGGTGGCCGTCGTTTGTTTATCCAGTTGGACACTGAACTTTCGCACGTTGCGTTAATCAGTCGCGCAATATCGTTAGTGCAACCTCAAATGAAGTATCCCTCCGTTTAAGAAATGGATGAGGCTCGCGCTTGTTTCTCGATTGGGTTTGGCGCTGCACATCGAAATTACACAAACACACAGTTGTCCAGTTTGCAAACAACCGACTTTTGACAGCGGACTAGGAGATGGAGATTACATTCGGTCAGTTCAGTTTAAGTCTGTAAAACCATTAACATTGAAAATTCATGTGTTGGTTTTGGTTGCTGTCTCATGATTTTCATTTGAATGAAGGAGTAGAACAAAAATTGAAAAGTTTACAGTAGAGTCAAAGAGAAAATGGAGAATTCCAGTAGACTAAGACTGCAAAGAAACTGAGAAGATGCACAATCGCCACTTTTTACGACTAGCTCCGTTTCTATACCCGAAGACTTCGGTTGTGCAGTTTCCAAGAAAGTGTACCCATCTTGACCTGGGTAACCTGGCAGTATCCCACCCACAAGTAAATTGTAGAACCTGTGTTTTACAAAGATTATTGTTTGGCACACAGTCCGACCTCAGATGTGTGTGAAATACATAAA